TAAATAAGGTTGCTTTATAGTGACCATATTTTAGATGTTCCAAACAAACATTTGAAAATGAAAACTTTCAGGTTGGATTGTTGGAAGAAAAAAAAGGATGACACCCCATCCCTGAGGGCCCCCCACCACCGACCGGACGGCACGATGGGAGGATGTAAATTGGACTATAATCACAATCTGACAGATAGAGAGTGGGGCTCTGTCCCCGGTACTTGCAGAGGCCCTATGCATTTTTCAGCATAGTAACCCCTCATCGCAGTTGTCGGGATTCGAACCCGAGACCTAACCCTTGTGGCACTCCCTTGCTACCAGTTGAGCTACGCCCACCGGTTCAGGTTGGATTGTTGGAAGAAACTTGGGGTGGACGTATCGGTTTTCAATTCGGTTTTTATCGGTTTCGATAAGGTTCGATTTTGAAATGAATTGAACGAATTTATTACCAAAACCAATGATACTATTTTTCGGTTCGATTCAGTTCAGGTTGATTTAATTTGGATTTGTTATTTTTAATAGCATATGAAGATTTTGTTGAATTTTTGTAGTTCTGATCGATTTTGTTATGTTTTTCTCGATTTCAGTTTGGTCCGGTTTAATACAATTTATAAGAAATGCTACTAAATTTAAACCAAATTGTATATGATCGGTTTCAATTCGGTTTAGTTCGATTTGGTACAATTCAATTCGGTTAAACAAAATTGATATACCCAGCTAATGGATTATATGGACTCCGACCCCCCGGTATGCCGACTACTAGGCATGGACAGCGGCCCACACACGTTTAGCGGATATCATTAATATTATTGTACATTATTATTATTATTATTCAGATGTTCTAGATTAGCTTTTTATACTATCAGTCCATTTATGTAACCGGGTCTGTCAGGCCCATATTAGAGGCCCAGACCCAGATTTTTCCTATATATACTCCTTATAGGAGGCTTGTAACTCATACAACAAATATTATTTCATCCTACACATTTTCTTCTTCTCCATTACTCCTTTTGATTCTTGTTCAATTTCTCCTGTTTATACAATATGGGTATCAATTATCCAACAATGGTGCTCGCGTTGAGAGGTTGAACAAAATCAAGTGAGAAAACCTCCCCAAATTAACCAAAAATTCATTCCAATCACGTAAAAATCCGTCCAAAAACAGTCTGGAATTTCAAAAAAAATAATCTGGAACTGTCCAGATCTGGAGCAGTTCCGGCCAGAACGGATTTGACTGGTCGACGGAGCAGCAAGCGAGCAACAAGATCCGGCCCAGTCCGGCACGCGACGTGCCTCTCAAGTTGTTACTTCTTCCGTCATCGCCGCCGGCCGGGAGAAGGCAGCCGCTTCATCAGCTTCCGCCCTTCATTGACGGGGCGAAGAAAACTGGAACCTTGTCGGTTCGGGTTAGAGAACGGCGGGAGGCTGCTGGAAATCCTACCGGAAGGCTCAAGAAGCTGGCCTTCAAGTTCTTGCCCACCACTCCGCTGCCATTTGCGCCTCTGTGGGAGCTCTTCTTCCGTGATGCGCCGGCGGATCTGTACAACGTGCACGTCCACGTGGGCCTGACGTACGACTACACCACGCCATTCACCGGCGTTTTCTCCGGCCGGGTCATCCGGTCCCCGAAGCCCACTCGCTGACACACGCCCAAGCTCGTTGCGGTGGCGCGTCGGCTTCTCGCGGAGGCGCTGGTCCATGACAAGTCGAACCACATGTTCGACCTCCTCTCACCGCCTCTGTCCCGCTGCCTACCGCCTCGCTCCACCATGGTGTCGCGGTTGCCATCTCTCCGGTTATTAAGCTCAACCTCGAAAATCCGCCATTAATGGCCGTTGTCCAAGCTCGGACGCCCTCAAAGCTCAGGGAAGGACAAAACGCCCGCAACATAAGACCGTCGTCGCGATCGGAAGTCCCTGCCGTTTTCTGTGCAACACCGGTCGTCCAGCAGCACCGCCCATCGATGTTCGCGGCCTGTTCGTCCACCTGGTCAGTCGCTACGCAAGACTCCCCTGGCTCACGCCTCACTGCCGACGCGACATGGAGGATCACCCGGCTAGGAGTTCGGCGATTTCCATCATTTATGGAGGCTGGGAGCTCGATAAAATTTTTCGAAGCTCACCCAATCCCCCACCGAAGGCTAGTCCTTGCACTGCACAAGTTCCCTGACCACTTCCAGCTATCAGCCACCAAGCAACCAGCAAGCTGGTTTGTCTTGGCCTGGCGAGTGGGTCTTTCCAAAAGATACTCCATATATTATTCCTTGGTTCTCAAAAGGCCACATCTATAGAAATACAAAACATCCTCCCATGCTCTTGGCCGAATGGATGAGCTCCTCCATGATTTGACTGGTCAATCAGCCTCCATGCTCCTGGCCGAAGTCATCCCACATCCAAATGATAAAAAGATAGGGAAAATGGAAACTAATAATCCAACCTTTTAGCGATCTTCTTACAATAGTCCCACCTTTTGATTATTCATGAATAATCCAACCTTTGCACCTCATCTTCATTCACTGGTCCCTGACCGGTTGATAACCTACTATTCCAAGTTATTTTCTTATCTTTGCAAACCATTATATCATAAATCTCACCTTTCACAAAGATAATATTTTGCAAAGATAAGAAAATAACTTGGAATAGCAGGTCATCAATCGGTCAGGGACCAGTGAATGAAGATGAGATGCAAAGGTTGGATTATTCATGAATAATCAAAAGGTGGGACTGTTGTAAGAAGACCGCTAAAAGGTTGGATTATTAGTTTCTATTTTCCCAAAAAGATAAGTGCTTTTTCATTTTCATATTAGTCGTATTTATTTATTTATTTTTTCGGGTAAATGTCACACTATCACGCACTTATGATCAAATACCTAGTAGAGTGTGGCTTGAGACCCATCACTAGGATTTAAAGCCCTGACACCTCAGGCACAAAGCCCTGTCTCCTCAGGCACAAAGCCCCGACCAAGTCGGGCATGAAGACAAAACCCCGACCAAGTCCGGTACGAAGACCGGTCTTAGTCATTCCTCGAGTGGCGACCGTTGCTTACGAATGGCTCACACATCCATTCTACTAAGTATTTTATCATTACATTAACAATTCACATCTCCACTTGTTTTAAGTGACGAACTCCCGATCGGGAACATAAATCCCAAGAAAATTTTTTATATGTATGATAAATGTGTAGGTACGAAGATGACTTTACTCATTTTCACCTCGTCTCCACTCGCCTCAAAGAATGGGGACTGGGGGACTGAGGGGTCAGAGTTTCTAGATGAGCAGAAAATATCACGCAAGAGCAGGAACGAGAGCTGAGTCAGTTGAAGAGGAGCTGAGCTAGATTGATTATGCCGGAGGGGATTTACCTTCCTTGTTTCACGTTGGGGGCGCTAGGTGTACTCTTTTTCCCTTTATTAAGATTTTTTCCCACTGGGTTTTTCCTAGTAAAGGTTTTTAACGAGGCACCTCCCCATAATGGACAAGGGTGGTGGTCCCCCGTCCGAAGAGGAAGAACGTTGCAGATACAGTTTGGACTACTCCCTTTCGCCTCGAGTACTCTCGACTCAGGGAGTGGGGGACTCCTAATGGATTATATGGACTCCGACCCCCCGGTATGCCGACTACTAGGCATGGACAGCGGCCCACACACGTTTAGCGGATATCATTAATATTATTGTACATTATTATTATTATTCAGATGTTCTAGATTAGCTTTTTATACTATCAGTCCATTTATGTAACCGGGTCTGTCAGGCCCATATTAGAGGCCCAGACCCAGATTTTTCCTATATATACTCCTTATAGGAGGCTTGTAACTCATACAACAAATATTATTTCATCCTACACATTTTCTTCTTCTCCATTACTCCTTTTGATTCTTGTTCAATTTCTCCTGTTTATACAATATGGGTATCAATTATCCAACACCAGCCCTGGATGAAACAATGGGAATGGGAATTTGGAATGCAACATCAGGTTAAGCATGTGTTGTATAGGTAAAAGTTTAAGTGATACTACGGGAGTGTTTGCAACTGTTTCTGCTTAAAAAAGCACTTTTGAAGATGTAAGGAAAAAGTGATTAGTGGTAAAAGTTGATAGTGTTTGAGAAAAAAAGAGATTTTGAAAAGTAAAAGTTGGTAGTGTTTGGTAAAATAAGTGTTTTTTGTGTAATAGAAAAGGGAAAAACACTTTTCACACGCAAGCCGGGAAAAAGAAAAAATTGGTAGTGTTTGGTAAATAAGTGTTTTTTTAAGCTAAAAGTGAGAAGTGCTTTTTTTAAGCAGTTGCAAACACTTCCTACATCCTAATTAGAATAACACATACGCAGTAGTGCAGTACTACGTAAATCTTTTATAAAAATAAAATATAAATACTCCATTTATTATACTTTGGCGAATTGGCGTAGGATTTAGGCTTTGTTTCAACCACTTGTGCTTAAATAAAAGCACTTTTTGGGAAAAAGTGATTAGTAATAAAAGTTGGTAGTGTTTGGTAAAATAAGTGTTTTTTGTGTGATAGAAAAAATAAAAAATACATTCTACACGAAAACAGAGATAGTAAAAGGCTAAAGGGTCAAATAGGTACATGAACTAACTTAAAGTGTTCAATTAGCCCCTTATATAGGAGGTTCTGCCCGGCCGTCGCCAATTGGGGCTGTTCCCGGTGGAATTTTTTGATGAAAGTTTTTTAGCATCTTTTTCATTAAGTCTAGTTTACCCATACCAAATTTCAGCTAAAAATTCAACCGGGAAGGCAGTCAAATGATTTTTTGAAGATAACTGCACAGTTAAACAACACAGTACATTTCAGAAAATCATTTGACTGCCTTCCCGATTTAACTTTTAGCTGAAATTTGATATGGGTAAACTAGACTTAATGAAAAAGATGCTCAAAACATTTCATCAACAAATTCCACCGGGAACCGACCCAATTGGCGACGGCCGGGCAGAACCTCCTATATAAGGAGCTAATTGAACACTTTAAGTTAGTTCATGTACCTATTTGACATTTTAGCCTTAGTAAAATAAGTTATTCTTTCTTAAAAAAAAAGTAAAAAGCATTTATGAACAGAGATTGCATTGAACCCCACTCTCCCATTCACCGCGCGAAGTCGTTTTGCTGTTTTTTTTCAAAGTCTAATTAGTTTTACACTCCCCGCGCTCGAATTTAATCAATTCCTAAAATTGCTCTGGCGCAGGTTAGCTTATCCCGGCGGATTAATGGAAGCGGAACAGATTCACTGCAAATTTAGAAAAGATTTGAAAGAGGTAGCTTGAAAGCCACACTGCTTATCAATGGTCGCCCCCAGGAAGAGAGTTCACGCGGTACACATTCGTCGTGGCCCTGATGGAAGTGCCTTCCAACAATGGTTTTTCTTCTTCCTCTTCCCCTTCATTTGGTCACTATGATTCCAATCGTGCTACTTAATCCACGAAATTCTAGTCGAGATTCATGATTTCCCATATGGCTGCATATTTGTGTGTGTGAATGTGTTGGTTATTTACTTATCTTTTTTGCAGCGAAAGCTGTGGCCTTTCTGTAGCAATTGCTCTGGCTGATCTGCATGAATGCGGAGGTAAAAGGGATGCCACCAACAAGGCCAAAACTCAATGCCTGAGCAAAGAAAGAAAAGGGCTGAAGAGTAGAAATGGTGAAGAACTGAGGTTTCAAGATCAACCCAGATCAGCATTTCGCTTATTTATGTACATCCCCGTCCTCTTTCACACGTTTATGCTGACAACGTGCTTGATATGATGCCTCTATATGACTAAAACTGAACCCTTTTATTTATTTGTTGGTAAAATTTGAGACACGTAGGGAGGAGTTTGAGAAGACATGTCATGATGAGAATGAGATTGATGTTGATAGGAGAGGATTTCAAACGTGGAGGAACATGTCAAAGATGGTACTATGAGCTATAATGGTGTTATTTTTCTCTGGTCTTATTAGCCAATTATCTTTAGGACTGTATACTTATGTAATTTTGATTACTAACAGAGTTTTAATTGATCTTGGTTTTTAGGAGAGAAAACCCTATGAAGTTCGAGCGGCAAATATCTGTTCAGCTTACTTAAAATGCTTAATCGAGGAGGAGAATAATATAATGCGGGTATAAATTCATATGCTTTGAAGTTTGATTTTTTACCAATAACCAATCAATGGTGGTTTCAAGAAGTGTATATGTTCCCATTTTTTCGAAAAGTTTCTATGTTCACATGAACGCCCCTGAATTAAAGGGGTCCACCACTGATTCCAACATTCAAACTTTTTCTCAAGTAAGCAATATAAATGTGCTCTTCTTCTCTTATTGATCAACCATTTTAGGTGAATGATGAAGCTGATTCAGCTGAGGTTCGGAATTATGACGAGGTTGATCTGCTTAATTCTTCCCACCGTTTCTAATTAATTCATGAATCTACTTAATTCATCCTAACTGTTTCTAAATAATTCATGAATATATGCACCTCTAACCCACACACAAATGCTGTTCATTATATATAGGATTCTGATGGGTTCTTGAGATATGATTCAGATGAAAGCAAGAGCCTCAGCTCCTACTTGAATTGGTAGTGGTTCATGCATATCCTTAGATTTGTGTCCTTCCATACCCCTTGCTGCCTTGCATGAATATCAGTTCTTAAATTCTTAATATTTGTGAAACAGGAAATCGAAGCATGAGTGGTTGTTTCATTGAAAGCCCTGGTGATTCAGAGTATCATTCATTCATTCTTGAAGTTTTGACAGATATATGCATTAGAAGTAGTACTAAGTATAGAGATGGCGGGGCATTAATCTTTGATGTTATCGAGAGGCTCAAGGTTCTTGGTTGCTCGTCGAATCTCTGTGACTCTCTTTCCTGTATATAAGCTGATGATTTTGATAAAAAGAATCTTCAGGACGCTTTTTGTTTACCCCAAGTTGCCAACCACACTGTTATCTTATCTCAATGGGGGATTGGGGGGATATCTGTAATGATATGATTTTGAAATTTCCTTGTTAATTAATCATTTCCTTTAGAATGTTGAAAAATAAAGGGGAACTTCAATTAGCTTCTTTGCATGAACTTATTGCGTTCATGCAAAGAAGTTCATGATGTGTGAACTTCATGAACTTACTGTTTTGCTAATTCTAGACATGTGTTTGATTTTTCATATTCTCATGAATTATGATCTTCATTAGTAGTTGAAATTAAATTTGGTTATAATAGTGTATACTTGGTCAGGATTATCTTTCTACTTATCTTTTGTTGTATCACAAAAGCTGAATTAATGCCTACATTTAAAAGAGCTCCCATTTCTCAAATTTCGGCCTTTCAGGTCGAACTAAACCGACATCGGTTGTTTTAAACAACTGAAATAGTGCCTATTTTCAGTGGTTCCAAACCAGTCAAAAAATGGATCTCATGCATGTTTGTTTTTTTGTTAATTATCCCTGCTTTTACACATTTTACAAAAAAAAAACTATTGAAAAAGTTTACAACAATAATCTCAACTTATCAATTGTTTCACAAAAATAAACTGGCAATTAATGGTGCTAGCTTTTCCGTTATATTTTAAATTTAATGAAGCAAAAATGTACCTATCGGCTATTATATGATGGGAAAACAGCCACAAACGTAACTATTAAATTACGGAGTTAATTTCCATTGGCTAAACTTTCCCAACTTGAATGAACCTTTGAGGATGCAAACAAATAGGGTGTTTGTTAAATGTCCCACACCCGAAAAAGTTTGGATAAACCAAATGATATATTAACACTTGGGCTACTCATGTCAGGTTGATCTTTTAGAATGGAACCCCGAGTCTTAACATGGTATCAGAGACAAATCGATCTATGATGTGGGTCCCCTTATGAAAAATGACAATTACGGTCGGATGAAAAAAACGGACCGATGAAAAAAAAAATGAATGATGGCACGATCCAAACGAAAGTGTCTTTCATGAGGAAGGGTGTTAAATGTCCCACACCGAAAAAGTTTGGATAAACCAAATGCTATATTAACACATGGGCTACTCCTCCTATCAAGTTGACCTTTTAGGATGGAACTCTATATCTTAACAGTGTTCTTAATCCAATTAGAACACACATAATACCATTGCTATGCACCAACATATTGAGCTAAAAACAGTAAGCACACACAACACAAAGACGCCGAAATTTTAGGATGGAAAACCCATAAACTAGGGAAAAACCACGGGACCATAAGGGTTCGAAACCTGCTAGGCACATAAGGGTTCGAAACTCAATGGCGTGAGTTTCAGCCCTGATTACTCCAGGAGTCCAGGCCCCCCAGACCTCCTGGAGTAAAAAAAACTGGAGGCATACAAAATCATCATATCCTTGGAAGTAAGCACATCAAGGTGTATGGAATCAAAATAGAGCCAAGATAAGAAATATATCACCAGAAAAATGGATATTGTCCAGACCAACGAAACTCGACCTCCGAACCTCAAAACCCAATCTCCACCGTCCAAAAATCACGACGATCCAACGGTTCAATCTCCAGGAAACGGAACGTTTATGTTGCTGCCTGCTGGAAAAACAGGATGAGCATTCAGCTCATGTTTTGTGACTTTTGTTCTCTCAATCTTTTGCTCTCTTTCTGTCCTTGTGTTTGATATAGTGGGCCACTGACTGACCCCTTTTTAATTAGAAGCTCCCAAAATAGAAAGTCCAAATAAGACTTTAATGGGCTCAATAGTTGGGCTTTCCTCATGGGTCAAAAACAAAGAAAGAAACCAACAGTATATAAGTATTAACAATTTCATATTTGTACTTAAATTTATTTCTATTATAAATTATATAATACTCATTTTTTTTATTAAACTACAGTAGAAATATTTAAATACATAGTCATCAAATTCTCTTTTATCTCTTACCCTATCTATATTTTATTTATATTCATTTTTGTTTTTCATTATAATAGAGATTTCATAGTAACTTTAGTAATACTACATTAAATATTAATACAAAAAATATGGTAATTATTTTTAACTTAGTCAGGTTTTATAAATTGATATTTATTATCATTTGAATGGATGACATACTAAATTAATATGGTTACATTCATATTTACTTTTATTTGAATATATGAAGTTTCATAAACATGAATATAACCATATTTCCTCTATAATAATTTAGTATATCATATGTTCAACTTATAAGACATACTACCTCCGTCCCAGTGAACTTTGCCAAGTGCAAAGTAGGTGAGAAATAAAAATAATAAAAATTGTGTGGTTGAAATTTGTGCATAGGAGAGAGAAATGTGCAAAAGCACAAATTAATTACTTTAATAGGAAAGTGTCAAAGTTCTTTAGGACAACTAAAAAGAGAAAGTTGACAAAATTCAATGGAAAGGAGGGAGTACTATTTATAAAATTGACTAAAACTAAAAATAATGGTCATATACTCTGAATTAATATTTAATGTAGTATTACTAAAAATTCTTTGAACTCTATTGAAATGAAAAATGGAAATGAATATAAATAAAATATTGGTAGAGTAAAGATCAAGGAGAATTCGTTATTGAGATGGATGAGTGTATGCAAAATGTACACCAAAAAGTAGGGGTGTAATCGAGCCGAGCCGAGCCCGAACTCTCATATGCTCGAGCTCGAGCTCGGAAAAAAAATGGATGCTCGAGTTCGGCTCGAGCTCGAACGAGCTCAAAAATCCAAACTCGAGTTCGGCTCGAGTTCGTTTACTTAAGCTCGAAATCAGATCGAGCTTGACTCGATAAGCTGAAACTCAGCTCATTTGAATAAAGGGAATAAAATAAATCAAACTTTTAATTAAATAAACAACCCAAAATAGAGGCCATTCAAAAATGCCAAATAGGCTATTCGAACAGACATTTCGTGGCTATTTGTGAAGTGGGAGGTGTGCGTATTTATTGAGACATTCCAAGGCTCATTTCTTCTCTTCTACCGGTGTGGGACAAATGGATGCAAGCAAAATTGGAGCAAAACTCAAATGTACGGAGTAAAATTTCTACCGATGAATCTGGGTGGGCCGGTACCTTTAACCATTAGAAGCCTTCCAACTGTTGGAGAATCCAAATGATCTAAACACTAATAGAGTAATAATTACTTTGTATTATGTAATCGTATTGTGTACTTTTCGTTATTATTATTACTAATACTATAGTTATAGTTATTATTTTTTTTGTTATTGTGGTTTTTGTTTTATTTTTATTATTAGAGTTACAATTATTATTATTATTATTATTATTATTATTATTATAATAGTAAAAAAAAATATTATTATTAGAATAAATGTTTCACAACAACAACATTCAAACCTTATTCCCAAAAGATTTTAGGGTCATTAGAATAAATATTTCAAATACAATAAATCCTAAAAGAGAATTAATGTTGATATAGCCCTTGTAATTACAGAGTATATCTTAAAATGGAATAAATTATATGTAGTATATTAGTGTGTGTGTGTGTGTATATATATATAAAATTATATACACACACGCATCATGGCTCGCGAACCGGCTCGCGAGCCACGAGCCTAAAATAACTAGGCTTGAATCGGGCTTGTTAAGCACTCGAGTCGAGCCGAACTCGAGTCGAGCTTAAGTTTGACCGAACTCGAGTCGAGCTTTGACCGAGCGGTTCACGAGTGGCTCACGAACGGCTTGGCTCATTTACACCCCTACCAAAAAGTATAGACCTAGCACAGCTCGTCTAGCTTAATAAAAAAACATTTAAACTCTTGCTTTGTAATATGTAAATTTCAAGTGACCATTATGTCGGGGAAGGACCATTGGTTCATTGCTAGCATTATTTAGAACAGCACCACAAACCGACAAACGACGGACAAAAAGTAGCACATCAATTTTGCATTTCATCAAACCTATATCATTCTTGGTTTTAGTCAAGCCATAAAGTTCAGATGAATTGGTGATGCATCATATCCTGATTTCCTTATTTATCTTAATGGGAAATGTTGAACAATGTCACGCTTGTCATTAGATTTTATCACATGAAACTTCATTAACCATTTGTTTTGATGTGAGAATTGAAGTAAAAACTGAGTAGCAATAAATTAAAAGGCATGTACTAAAAGCATATAAAGATAAACACAAACCATTGTTTACACAGCCCCCCCTCCCCCCCCCCCCCCCAGGGTTATAAATTACCACAGGAACCATGCTTTAACACTCATGGAATCTCAAGTCTTGTTTATACACAAGACATGACAGATACACAACAAATTGCGCTTTTACACGAGTGCATTAAGCCTCTCTTTCCTGAGAGTCTCCAACTCATTAACCATTTGCCAATGCTCAATCGACAAGCTGCTTTCCCCAAAACTTAGAGATACTAAACGTGCCAATGTCAACAATCTGCGCGCCAACACTCTTTACTAAGCACCTTCCTCACTTGCTAAATATATCATGAAACATAAGAAATGTAATACAAGTATTTATTAGCATGCAGCAACTGACCTGCTAAATTCTTGGCTGCCCATGCTTCGGTCAGCTTGCCTGGCAGCAACCAGGTCATCTTCCAACACCTGCAATAATAATAACCTTTTATATCTAGGAGTTGGATTTAGAGTTCATATCTTTTACAAGCGTTCTAAAGAAAATGTTAAGGATATATTGAGGATGTTTTTGCTTGGACTGAAATTTATTGGTTTGGTTTGGTCTGTTTAAGTCTGGTTTGGTATGAACTGGTCTGGTGGGGGATCTATTTAAGTTTGGTCTAGTCTGATCTATTTATTTCTAGTCTGGTCTGGTCCAGAACTGAAAACAGACCAAGTAAAAAATATCCTTAGTTGGATTTATGAGTTTGGGGTGAAAGTGTGGGTCATGATATTATTTTTTTTAAATAAGAGATTTTATTTGGCTAATGAAGCATGTGATAGATAAATGACTAAAATATTGATGTTATACTGCTTCATCATTATATTACATCTTTTACTCCCTCCGTCCCATAAAATTCTTCACACCTACCATTTTTGGATATATCAAAACATTCTTCACATATCCCTTTTTGGAAAGTTTTGTGTGGCTAACATTC